CAGAAGAGCTAAATATTCCCAGAGAAGTGCGAACAGCCAGTAACAATTTAAACATAGTATTTTTCCTAGGTAACAAAGACTACACCTCCTCGCAATGGAGAGAACGGCACCCACATCAAAGTTTTCTGCTGGATTAGCCTCAATTGCACGAAGTGCCTCATTGGTTTCACGAGCAACCTAATATAAGAATATGAAGATAAACACACAAAACGACACAAAGAAAACAACTCCACATGAATTTCTAAAAGGAATTGCAGATGGTTATTTTAAGATGCATTAAGGAGACTATAGAAGAAATAAACTTACCACTCTAGTTTTCTCTTCTTTATCAGATATGCAGGGAAGAATGGCTCCTAGGATGCCAGCATATTTTAGGAAAAAGCTGGTCTCCACCAAGTTTTACAAACTCACTTATCTGTACAATGAAAAAAACAGATTTGAACTGTCCATGATATGAAAGTACCAAATGGAATATTTACCGTATGAATAGAAAGAAAAGTAAAGTAAAGATTATCATAGTAAGTAACATATTGAGAAGGGGGAGAATCCCTTTTCAGAAAATATCCCCCTTTCTAGAGCAAGCTTAAGTAAATTCTACTTACCCAAGTGATAGCTGTTAACCGAGTAAATTCATCAGGAGCAGCTGCCCTTTGCACCAATATCTCAGCCATGCGACCATAATCTACAGACTTCAAGAGTAGCACTGCTTGAGTCAGAAAATTTACAAATGAAAAAAAAAGATTTTGTTTAATGAGAAATTCTTGTAAATGATACCAATGAGCCATAAATTTCTTTACTAAATAAGTAATCAGTCATGTTACTCATATATATGTGTAAAAGGAAATCTTGGCATAAGAAACTTTAAGAAAAGCAACCATAGAGCAATCCAACACTTAAAGAACAAAATCTCAGAGGATGTCTTACTGGAGAGTTCTTAATCTCTTGGAGAAACTCTGAAAGTGCTGAATCAGCTTGCTGCCGTATTTCACGACTAGAATCACTTAACATATTAAACAAACCTGAAAGTTACCAAGAGCTAATTAAATCACTTCTTCTAGAGAGTGGCATACTAGTTAAAAGGAATAAAACTATATTACCATCAAGAAAATCAGGGAGGAAACCCAACATGTCAATATCTGGAACACTATCCAATACAGTTATCCATCCAACCAAAAACTGACGGACATAGGGATTTAGAACATTCATGCGCTCTCTCAACAATGGTATAAATTCTTTGATACTGAAGAAAAAGCAACCATGTGTTAACATTATAAGGATGTTTCCTGGAAAATTAAAACAAGACCTCTAAACATAAACAAACTCCACGGAGAAAAAATGGAAGCAAATAAAGCACACCTGAACTGGTCACATTCAGTAACAATGTCCTGTTTCCCATTGAAAAATATAAGAGCAATAAATTTCTGTTTCACATGATCAAGATGCTGGCATTTAAATGAGGTAAAACTTACTAACCTTCACAAGCCTATCTAAAAGGTGAGCAGCACTCTGTACATTGACATCTGGATCAGCGGAGAGCTTGCATAAAGCATTAAATATCTGATTAAAGAATATAATTAAATCTCCCCGTACAACCTGTAGAGCAGAAGAAGGAATTTCCTGTCCACTGTTATTCAAGAAAACAATAAATGATAACAAAAAGAAAAATACTCTACCTTCACCTTTGCAATGTTATATAAAGCTTCACAAGCATAATAACGAACTCTGCTATCTTGGTCAGAAAAAGAACTAAGAACCGGTGGCACAATTTGCTGGCAGATTGCATCAAAAGCCAATTAATCACCAAATTATAACAAAAGAAGAGAAGAAAATTTAAGGAAATAAACAACTGAAAAAAAACTGACTTATCAAAACAGGAAAATAAAAGCAATCATCCAACATCACAGCAAACAACATTTTTCCAATTTTACTTCTTATTCCATTTGAGAAAGAAAATAAATTGAAGCAATGCTAATCCCCTCTAACTACAAAAGAACATAAAATATCAATCCCTACCAGAGATCAGAGAGGTCTGGAGATCAAAATCCTACAGTTTATTAAATCTAGAATGGAATATGACATAGCTTATGTCAGGTAACAGTCAATAAGGCACACCAAATGTACTTGCTTTCCTATTCATAGTCAAAGACGATACCGGCATTCACTGAAACATTACAATCATAGAGCACAAATCGTTAAACCTTAAAGCAGAATTCTTAGTTCTTAAATGAAAATGTGATGGTAAATATTACCCTAATCATTGCTAATAAGATGTAAACATTTTAATAGATAGCGATTTAAAATTTTGAAGGCAAAGTAATTCTTACCTCAAGATGTTGGGCCGCTTCAGAAGTCAACCCAACAGTGGCAGCAGCTAAACCTATCAATCCTCCCTGCATAGACGCAACAACAATTTTAACAAAACTAACCCAAAATTCAAATTAAATAGATACAAAGAATCATGGAAATGTACAAAATTCTGGAAATTATTCATCATGCACCAACCTTACGGTGATTGGCTTGTGGAGAGTAGACAAATTCCATAGCTAATAAATTGATCACCGCCGATATCTTCTCGTGATAGCCCGACGAAGCCAGCTGTTTCACAATTCCTTCAATCTACACATAATTGTGGTGAGAAAGGCGTGAGCAATTCAATCATTTAAATTCCATGAAAATTCAAAAAAAAAAAAAGGGGAAAAAAACCTCAAGGGCCGCATGCTTGCGCTTCTCATACAGCTTATCAGAAAGATTACGGAATAAGGAGGCAGGAATCACGGAGAGCGCGTCAGCCATAACAAATAATTAATTAAAGAAAAAAAAACATTTTCCTTTGATTAAATCAAATTCGCTTCCTGATCTTTTCAAGTTCGAATCTGAACATAGTTTTTGGTCTTTTTAGAGTTTGATGCTTCCTTTTGCGAGCGAGAAATGAAAAATTGGGGTAATTCAGATCTGGTAAAATGGAGCAGAAAGTATAAACCAATCGGTTTTTTCTTTTCTTTATTAATTTTACAAAAGGCTATCGGATATTCTAATTTCCTTATTAACTATTATTACGTAAGAAAGAAAGGAAATTGAATTTCATTTTCCGGGAAAGTTTGGTGTTTGGATTGTGGTGTTTTTGTTTGTGTAATAAGATGTTTAAAATGTTTTAAACAGTATTTTTAAAATCAGATCGGACCTTAAACCAAAGATACTAGTTTATTGGTTCATTGGTTTAACTGTAGTTTAATCGGGTTGAATCGAATTATATAAAATAATTTTTTTTAAATTTTACATAAAATTTAAAGCAATATTAATATATGCAGCACTAAAGAAAAACGTCTAAAGAGCATAGAATAGCAAATATAAGAGAACAAAACAATCTCACATAGTTAAAAAAATATAGAAGAGCATCCCAAAAATCTAAAGAATAAAAATAAGAGAACAAAACAATCTCACATGACTAATAAACATAGAAGAGCATCTCAAATGTCTAAAGAATAAAAATAAGAGAACAAAATAATCTCACATGACTAATAAACATAGAAGAGCATCCCACCTTACTTCTATAAATAATAGAGGTAATTTGACATTCAAAATCATGGAGCCTTTTGGTGAGCACATAGCAAACTATTCTTTCGCTTCAATTAAGCTTGAGTTTCAGGCTTCAATCGAGCTTTTAAAATTTTTTTGAGTTCGAGCCTTTTCGAGTTCAAGTTTCAATATTATATTTCGAGTTCGAGTTGAGCTTAATAATTTTTAGCTTGCGAGTTTTTGAGTCGAGTTGAGCTTACTTTTAAAGTTTTTGAGTTCGAGTCAAGCTCAGCAATACTGGAGTTCGACTCGGTTCGTTAACCAAACGACGTTGTTTGGTTTATTTTTTTTAAAGAAAAAAACAGAATCGGCGGTTCACACTGGTTTTGTCGGTTTTCAGTAGGTTCACACTGATTTTACCGGTTCTCAGCCGGTTCATTGCAAAATTAGTTTTGGAAGTTAACCGGACCGGACATACCACTAGTTCACGGTTCAACCGGTTGAACCGGCCGGTACGGTCCGGTTTTAATAACTATGGTTTTAAAACATATAAAAATTAGAGTAAACTATGCGAGTACTCATCAACCTATTATTTTACTTCCATTTTGGTCATCAAATCAAACTTTTTCTTTTTAAAATTACACCAACATTATTTTTTTTTTCTATTTTAATCATCGATCATTATTTATTTAACATCTATTTTAATCACCAATCACTAATTATTTAACGACGATGCTAACAATAGATTTCTTAATTACTTTTTGAACTTTTATGTTGTTTCCTATCTACACTTGTTTTTGTTTAATTTTTAATATTTCAAAGTAATGAACGTAGTCATATAATCCATATAGAGAGAGACACTTAAATGAGTAATTTTTAATCATTCTAATAATATCCCTTTTGAATGAATCATTTCTTTACATGCCCTTTGTCGTTTCAGGGTGGAGTGTTTCATTGAGCACCAAGATGCTTCTACTGTTCGAACTTCGACGAGTTCAACCGGAATTGTAAGTCGTGAGGCAGCCGACGTTCTCTTCTCGAGCAGTGTGCTGTGGGGTACTAGTCTGTCGAGTGATATCAGATTGAACATGGCCCTAACGACGGCGAAGACGTTGCTTGTATTACCCATGCCAAGACCAACTGAGATTGTTTTCTTGTACAGTCATGCATAGTTGAAAAGTGAAATAACACTTATTCTCTAATCACAATTCAAAGAGACAATACCTATCTTTTTTTATTTTGAAATAGGAAAATCTTTATATTCCAATAGCATCTGGGATTATAGACTTAATATAATTGGGTTTATTATAGTAAAACCAGTACGGATTGAGTCTCAACAAAGCCCAATACGCATGAGAGTGAGCGACTTAATTTGCATCACGGTTTACATAAAAAAAATTAAGATCACAATTCCTGATCAGAATATCTTGTGCTTCGTTGAGCGACAATCCGATGGTTGAAACATCTTCTCTTCTATTGGAAAGTCAGTTGACAATGAAAATCGTATCGCCTTCAATAATTGTATCCATCCACCCATTCTCCATTGCGAACTTAAGTCCTTGTGTAAAAGCTTCCACTTCCGTGGATTCTGTCGTGAAAGGTGGAGTAATTTGTCGACGCATGCCCCCTAGCACCATCCCGTTGTGGTCTATGGCCACAATGCCTATTACTGATATGGCTTTTGTTGTGCTAAAAGCCCCGTCAACATTAATCTTAACACCATTTGTCTTAGGGCAACTCCAAAATGTTGATTTCATCGAGTTCTGTGAGGGGGTGGGAAAAGTTCCAATTGAATTGGCTTTAACAAAATCAGCACAAAGCCCCCACACGACCACCATCACATCCCTATCGTCTTGCGTCTCTTCATCATGCAACCATTTGTTCCTTCAATTCCACACGTTCCAAAGCAACACCAGGAGTCTGGCTAGCCCAACTGTATCCAACTGAGTGATTGTCCATTCCAACCAATCCTTATACGAAGTCCCTTGCCAGTCGATGATTGAGGGATTGAGTCCTGAGATTTGGAGGATGGCACGCATCTTTGGGCAATTCTTAAGAGCATGGATCGTAGTTTCCAGTTCACTCCCACAAAGGGGACATGATCCCTCAGACAGTCGGGCCTTCTTCAATTTTTCCCTTGTAGGGATTGCCTCATGGCACACTCTCCATCTAAAGATCCTAATTTTGGACAGCGTAGGCAATTTGCTGAGGGTTTTCCATATCTTTCCCTGTTATGATGAAACCAACTGGTGTCATGATGGCTCCAAATCAATCTATTATCATGGGTGGGGGCAATGAGGGTTCTGAGGACTTTATTCGCATCTTCAGGGTGAGTAGTTGTTGGATCTTTGCTTCGTCCAATCTGGGGACATTTGGAAGCATAAAGTCGGAGCATTTAAAAGGAGAATCCTCATTATCGCGGTAAAGGCTCGTCCAACTTATTGGAGATGCATCCCCTCATTTGTCAAGGAACATTTTGGCTAGTCCAAGCAAACGAAGCTTTATTTCCTATTTTTGCTTCCAAAAAGAATGAATTGAGGAAATACTTTCTTTGAAGACTTTGAAAGCCAGGGAGTTTTCAGAAAGAATAAGAACCCACAAACAAAACGCCCTGCAGAAGAGAACAGCAGCCACCAATGGACAACTGCACAAGACACTACCCCCCATCTAAGCCACGCTACTACCCGTACATAACCATTCCAAGCCAGCCCTGTAACTCAGCAAAACAGGAGCATGCTAACAACCTGCCCTCTAAGCCATCAGCTATGTACACAAATAAACGAACAAAGAAACACCTACTGCCCTCAACATAAAGCCCAGCTAGTCAGCAAACCTTGCATGGACGATCCAAATATAATTGTTAGAAAAAGACTCAATAAAATTTAGGAGACATTGTTTAATAAATCAAATCTATTTTGCTTTTACACACATTTTGAATTTGATCCATATATTATGAATATGCTCCGCACATATTTAAGTTGTCATTTAATATTAAAATTAATCATTGGATTCATACGTTTCAAATACTCTCTCGATGTGGTTACTGTCCTTGGAGGTGACACGCAGGGAGTTGTTTGCATGATGGTGGCATTTAGCTTATTATTGGCTGCTTAGTTTGTTTCTTTTAAATTCAAAAATAAAAAATATAATAATAATATTTAATTCGAGATTTTAATAGGTAATAGATTAGTTGTACATATATATTACTTCTTCTTTTTCATTGTTAATCATTGAAACTATATTTTATAAGTGCAAACATAAATACTTACCTGGTTATAAAATTATTCTTTTTGATTTTTTTATTATGAAAAAAAAAATTATAAAATAACTTCAGTGACCGAAAATGCCTTATAATATACGATTTTAACCAACTTTTTTTGGATTTGCGAAAATGACCAACAAATTCGCAACGAGAACTCCAATTTCGCAACACAGGTTCCAAAATCGCAACGCGAATAGGTAAATCGCAACGATAATATGTAAATCGCAACGATAATATGTAAATCGCAACACAGAAGTTAAATTCGCAACGCTAATTACCGATATAGGTAAACAGTACTATCGCAACGCGATTTTCGTTTTCTCAACGCGAATTTCATTTTCGCAACGCTAATTACCTATATCGGTAATTAGCATTACGAAATTCGAGTTGCGAATTTGGAGAATTCGCGTTGCGATTTACATATTATCGTTGTGATTTACCTATTCGCGTTACGAATTTGGAAAATCGCAACGCGAATTTCGTTTTCGCAACATTAATTACTGATATAGGTAATTAGCGTTGCGAAATTCAAGTTGCGAAATTTGAGTTGCGAATTTGGAGAATTCGTGTTGCGATTTACATATTATCGTTGCGATTTACCTATTCGCGTTGCGAATTACATATTATCGTTGCAATTTAACTATTCGCGTTGCGAATTTGACTTTCGCGTTGCGATTTTGGAACCTGTGTTGCGAAATTAGAGTTCGCGTTGCGAATTTGTTGGTCATTTTCGCAAATCCAAAAAAAGTTGGTTAAAATCGTATATTATAAGGCATTTTCGGTCACTGAAGTTATTTTATCTTTAATGGTTGACCCTTTTTTCCCATATGTATGGGGTAAGGAAGAGGTAAGATAGTAGGCTGCCCCCAACACCAAATTGAGAGCAACTTCCGTAGGAGACCTCCGAATTATGAAATGCCCTTCGTGAGACTCGATCTCACGACCTCAAGGTTAAGAACCTTGTGCTCTCTTTAATAAAATTGATATAATAATAAATTTAACGAATTAATTTTTAAATTGTTTTATCATTTCCTGGTCACTGATGTGTCAAGTACATTAAATATTTTGGTTCTTCTATATTGAAATTTCTCTCTAATTTTTACTTTCCTTGGTGATTGCTAGGACTCTAAAGTTGCCATCTGATTGTGCTAGTGATTTTATACTTATTAATCATCACTGCAAAATGGAACAATGGAAGAGCTAAAGGTGATGCCAATTTAAAAACAATAGAAAGAAGATGTATTAAATGATAAAACTTTTAAATGTTGAAAATTAAGTTTTTAGAATCAGAATTAAATTAAAATAAAGTGTAAAAACTGAGAAAATAATTTATTATTACATCAATTTTATTAAATACGCACCATCCAAACAATTTTTAACTTGTTTTTTAATTTGGTGATCATTTTGTAATATTTTATAGTTCGCAGACTCAACAAAAATGTTCATATAATTAAAGGACCATTTGTGTACTTCACCCTTATTTAAATAATTAATTGCGCTGACTTAATATTTTTCAGCAATACTAAAACGAGACCACAAATTCAAACACGTTTAAACTTGAAATAATGTATAAAATCTAAACATCATCTATATCCGATTCATTATCTTTAAATAAATAGTGTTTTATATTTATCCCATATTAATAAAAAAATGTTACAACTTCAATAATAAAAAGAATAATTGAATGTTATAATTCATAGGCATTATTAAATGAAAAATCCTTGTTAATGTTTTTTTTTTGAAAAATAACTCGTGTCAGATTAGTTAGAAAATTAACCCCAAACAACCCATATAAGACTATCTCATGTCCTATAAAACGTGTTTAATGAACCTCGTGTTTTATAGGACTCTAGACCTATCAACTTTTTTCCAGATAAAGTCATTTAATATTAGATAAAGGCAATAATAAATACATGAAATTCGCTTTTCGTATTGTAGAACGCAATATATCTTATGTAGACAGTTTGAGGGTTATTTTTCTAACTAATCTGACACGACGGTTGTTTTTCAAAAAAAAATAATGAGGGTTTTTCATTTAATAATGCCCAATTCATATTCAATGCTAACTTCCTAATATCCATTATTCGAGTTTAATTAGGTGAATATGACTATTGTTTCCATTCATATCCACTTGATAACGTTTATTACACTTAAAATAGCAGCAAATATTAGTAAAATTAAAATAACTTCTACAAGATGCATCATTAAGTAAAAAGGATCAATTTTATATGGTAAAACTGTAAAAACAACAGCCTAAACAAATCTGTATCGTGGTAGAACCCCAAATATTAATAAACAGATGATGCCTAAAAGTTAATCTGATGCCCTATGTAGGATTGTAAATGAGACGAGATAGATCGTGAGCTACTCGAGATTGACTCGATCAAGGTTCGATAAATACTCGGATCGAATGGACTCGACTTAAGCTCGACTTGAGTTCTTAACGAGCCGAAATGAGCTACTCGATATTCGACTCGAAAAGCTCGTGAGCAGCTCAAAAAAATGTTATATTATAATTTTAGATTTTTTAAAATTATATTATTAAAAAAATATTAAAAATACACTATTGATAATTATAAAATTTTAAAAATATATTAAAAATTCTATAATACAACTACCCTCAAATTTTAATTAATATCTTTGTAATGAACCTTAAACCCTAAACCCTAAACCTTGAACTATAAACCATAAACACTAAACCCTAAAATGTACTTATCTCATAAATCGGTACCAAGTCGATTAAGTAATGTCTTTGTAATGAACCCTAAATCCTAAATCCTAAATCTTATACCCTAAATACTAAACACTAAACCCTAAACTCGATTATGTGATAGGGGTTAAGTTATGCACATGAAGGTAACATACAAATTATGCAAAATGATGTTATGTGACTCCTAAATAAATCATTCGCATACTTATACATAAACATATCAACATGCAAAATAAATATAAACAACTAAATAAAAAAAAATCCTAAACAGTGACTAATTTAAGAGAAACCTAAATGTGAGGAATAATTTAAGCTAAATATACTAACTTTAGAATGATGATTGATGATTAAATTCACGTAAATGTAAAATTAAACTTACAAAATTGGAATTAAATCAATGACTTAAATACAAAATGTGCATAAACTATGTCTTATATGCAATTGATCCTATTCGGTTTAAGTTAAAATAATATGGAAAATAACATAAATGACACCTGAACATTTAAAACAAATATGAAAATTTAAACAAATGTGATTGAAATACAGAAATTAAAATATAACATACAAAACTATAAATTTATTAAACATGCATATACATATTAAACTAATGACTAAATTTAAATAAACATAAAATTTAACATACAAATCAAGAATTAAATTAGAGATTTACAAAAGGGTGCTCAAGTTTGGGGGACTATAACTTAATTTACCAAAATATTAATATGAAACCTAAATTTAATTAAACCTAAACTAAACTCACGCATACAAAATACCAAACACAGTCGCATAACCCCTTTATTCTCCAACAACCTCTCTCGGTAGCTCTCTTAATCTCGTCTCTCCCTCTCATGCACACATGACACCACTCTCAACATGATGGTCCTCTTCTTCTTCGGCGAAGACCCTAATACAATAGGGTAAACCAAATCGAAAACTTCTACCCTTTAGGTTTCGAACTACCTAAATAAACCACTTTATTTCCCTACTATCCTCATCTCTCTAGGTGACCGAGAAAGCTCGAAAGCTTTCTACATCGGCCACCACAAGCGAGTGGCCAAATCCAACTCCGACCACCACGGGACTCAATTGGTAAGTCTCTAATCCTAACCCATACACTACCAAGCACTTGGTTCTATTCTAACTCATTCTTTTTATTTACCCTGATCTAAAGCTAAGGAACACAACACCACCAGCCGAATATTCCTAAGGCTCAGACGATTTCCATTTAACAGTCAACCCTTCCTCTTCTCTTAGATCCCTAGCTAAGGTATTTCCCCCTACACTTTCCTCATTTTTATGATCTAATTTCGTCCTAAGGCTTTCCCAGGGAAGGTAAGAAAATGGTCAAATTTTGAATCTGATTAGAACTTTAATTTTTGTCCATTTCTTTTTCTGTCTAAATTTGTAAAACATTTTGTAAATCGATTTCAAATTTCCAATGATTTATGTTACTACTTCTAGGTCCTTAATGCTGAGCAAAAGTCTTGATTCAAGGCTCACTGAAGCGCCATGGTATTAAACTATCAATTTCTTAGGAAATTATTTCTTTCTTTCTTTTTACTTTCTCAATGATCGTTAAGTGAAAAGCTTGTTTATGTATTTGTTTCCTTGCAGAATTACCTAGTTGGAGCTTTCAAGCCGCCGTGTAATATTTTCATATCATTCGCTGATGGAAGAAACCACAGGCTGGTATAT